ATTAAAATTTAAAAAAAAGAGAAAAAGATACTTCTAATCAGCAATAAAATATGTAAGTCATTTCATGTGCGGTAAACTGAATATTTGCGAACGTTCTTTACAGAAATAAAAATGGTGTAATTTAGTACTATCAACTGAGTTGATAACGTAAATTGGCCACCGTAAGGAGTTTAAAAGCTGACGTTTCGAGCGTTAGCCCATCGTCAGAGCTCGAAACGTCAGCTTTTAAACTTTTTACGGTGGCCAATTTACATTATCAGCTCAGCTGATAATCCTAAATTACCTCGTTATACTCTCCCACCGATGCAGCACCACAGTTTCTTTAGAAACTTACCCCCTTTATTCAGAAATAAAAATAACTTAGAAGAAGCACTGAATAGATCACTTACCTTATAGAAAGGAGCTCCCTCTGCGACAATCACGCTGAATGTACGCCTCCTTGCTGCATTCTTAACAATGAAAAGAAAATTATTTTAACGCTATAAAATGAAATGTTACTCTGTTACCGAAACCTTACAACACATTACCGACACATACCCGACTGTTCATTATCCTAACAATTTTTTATCGACAACTGGCCGATAATCAGCCGAGAGTCGGTCGAAAGAGAACCAACCAGTTTTTCCTCTTTTACGTCAGTTTTCGACCCTGAGCTGGGTTTCTATTAAAATCCGAAAACATCTCGGCCCAGAAACAGTCCCGCAAATCCTCTTAATGAAATATCTCCGAGTTTGTCGAAGCGTATCGTCTCCATTTGTAGCTGAAAACTTATTCAAACGATGGCTCACCTTGAGAAATTGTTCTACTGTTCTGGATTTCCCAATCGTCATGATCACTTCATTAGAATGTATATGTTCAAGAGCTTGAGTGGCGATGTTATCAGTGCTACAATAAAGAAACAAAGTAAAGGAATCAATGGTCATTAACAAATTTTGGTGGCAAATTGACTCTTTCCACATGGTAACAGAATGACAATGTGCTTGAATACAGTAACGCTCACGTGTACTGCAGCACCAACACGCGCGTCAAGTACGTGTAATTTTTACGCGCGTGCTGTACAAAAATTATACGTGTGAATTGGTTTACACGCAAATGCGTTCATTTTAATCCGTCTTTTGTCATTCACAGGAATTTTTTTCTCAAATGCGTTCTGGGTGCGACAGAAAAAAATGTGAAATTGATCATTTACACATGATGTAAAGATGAAATCAAGTATTCATTAAAAACAGTGTACCTGGCCTCAATCTCTGATAAGAGTTCGTTTAAAGCATCAATGACAGTTGCCTGTTAAGAAAAAGGCAAAATAAAAGCAAAAAACAGAATTACTTCAAATTTACACATAGTTCTTTTTGAACTTAAAGGGCCATGAAAAGAGGTCAATAAGTGACTTCTGAAAGAAAGCTGACTTGCACATTCCAATTTTTCTTGTAATTACTTGTAAAAGATAAGTGCTTTAATTTTCAAGTAACATTTCAACCCTTAAGAGTGACTAGAATCTAATTTCTTGTAGCAATGTCAGAAGGAAAGAAATTATAACTAGAAAAGCTCTTGATTGTTTAATCTTTAATTCCCATGAGTGACCAAGACAGCATTTCTCCTTACAATATCAATACAATATCAACCAGATAAGTGATGAGAATAATGAAAAATATCAATTTGGGGATAATTTAATTGATCCAATACAAAATTCTCTGAACTAACATTATAAGAATGGTATGGTTGACAGTAGGGAGAATTACAAAATTGATCTGGGAGTTAAAGGGTTAACAAATTCTCCTTGTCAGCACCCTAGTAAAAGTATAGAGAGCAGTATGGATAATATGCATACTGATTTCAGGGTGTTAATGTAATGTCATAATCCCCTTCAACTCTAACCTGCAGAGAAAAACACCCCAAAACTGTGACAGGGTTACAAGGTGTCTCTAAGAGATCACAGCCACCAAACTGAAAGTAGCTGCTTATAGCAAGATCCAGTGGCTACTTACAAGAGGGAATTCCTCCCAGAGGTTTCATAGTACCAAATGTAGACAGAGAGTGAAAAAAAAACAACCCAACCCAACCAGAACATCAGCTGACACATTGGTCAAAAAAACACTTAAATGCACTTGTCACCTTGGTCCAAGGATGATCAGCACAAGAACAAACAGACAAAAAGTGAAAACTGTGGTGAGCCAGGTATCATACAATCCTCAGACCCCAGCAGTTTCTTGTCTATCAAGGACTTTAAGTAAACATACCTTAAGTCCATGAGCAGGTTTGTTGAAGTCACTTGTGGAGGGTCCACCGGCCATTAACAGTTTCTAAAACAATGTTCAAAACATCTTGTCAATTACATGTCTATTTCCTCAGTTAGCAACAATGGAAATTCTTTTGTCAGACCACATGACTTCCAGATAATTAGTCACACATTACAGAAAATGTTGTTATCCATCATGGTTATATAAACAAATGATTGTTTACTCAATAACTCACATGTAAGGATTCCTCTGTTTCCCCTTCTTCTGTTTTACCGCTAACAGAACTACAATGAGATAAAATTAACAGCCAGTAAAAATTGATGGCATGAACAAGATGCAAGCAGTTATGATAGCTGTATATTCAACAAATAGATTGCATGTTGCCATGCATCTCCTCAGAACAAATCACAGATGATGTCGAAGAACAAAAAGAAGTACATGAGGACTGGCTGCCAAGTCTGTCACTAATTTTCCTACCACATTAAGACATCTTGTGTGATCTGCAAAATATTTTACTACTGAACAGACTCATGCTTACATGCAATCTATTTGTTTTATATGAAAAAGAAGCAAAACCCTGTCAATGAAGTCTGTCCTCTGACAGATCATAAGAACCAGTGCACAATCGCTCTGACGAAGGGCTAACGCTCGAAACGTCAGCTTTTTTACCCTTTACGGTGGCTAATTTACGTTTTCAACCCAGTTGTTTACACTAAATTACCTGCTATACTCTCCCACCGACGCAGCACCACAGTTTCTTTAGAAACTTACCCCTTTACACATTTAATTCAGCATATGGTATAACTCAATGTACTCAATCTTAAACAAGTTACAAAATTTGACTGAGAAAAGTATACTACGTGCTTCTGTAAATAAAAAAATTTCATACCCAGCATATTCTTCTCTTATGATCTTCAAGCCTGGAAGGAAAAGAACTCATTTAAGATGTTATTTAGGCTTTAATAAATATGACCATTAAAAACTAAACTTGATTAATTCCCAATAAGTGTGGGTTAATTTCATCTGTGTACAGAAATTTGGAAGTGTGTGCAGAAGTGTAATAAAAAAATCACATAACAAACGCATCATAAAACGCTTGTACTTGTAAAATGTGTATTAACCCCTTACACCCTAACATCAGTATTTATAATCTCCATACTGCTCTCTGTGCAGTTACTTAGGTGCTGATGAGGAGAATTTGTCTAACAATCAAGAGCTTCTTTATTTGGTGATCAGCTCCTTCATTCTCTTGACCTTAATGTTTGATTCAGGGGTGATATGGTTAAGAGAAATTAGATGCCAGTCACTCTTAAGGGTTAAAAGGTTAAAATGTTAGCTATGAACATACCTCTCCGTACCATATTTCCAACAACAGAATCTATAAGAATAAACAAATACAGCAATAGATCATGAATAACTTCATTTGCTTTTGTAGTCAGATGTGATTTATGACAACATGTTACTAGACAATCAGAAATTTATATAATCTGACCTGTTGGCTGAGCACTTGCCATTTTCTTTCCCTCTGTTTTCATATACTGCATCAATTCACTGTGCGCAAAAACATTCAGCAATTAATGTCACATCAGACTTTGAAATTAACTTTAGAAGCTTCAAATCAGACATGTTTAATAAACCTTTTAACCTCTAAGAGAACATTTAATTTCTCCTTATAATATAACCTTGGAATCACACATAAAGGTCATGAGAATAAAGGACATGATCACCATATTCTCCTTGTCAGCACCCTAGCAAATGTATGGAGTACAGTAGGAAGAATATGTAAACTGATGTTAAGGTATAAAGGATTAATATCTCAAATGACACCAGATTTCTACTTTGTTTGAAACCTTAAGCCAGCACTACTAAGGTTTAAATTGGAAACAAGAGGAATTTGCTGTTATCTGCTGCATCATAAAGTTAATTGGGGGCAAATCAAGCGTGAAGAGTTCTTAAAACCTTTCTTTATATTCTGTTCTTACCCTGCAGTACTCCAGCGAGTCTGGGAAACGATCCTCCTCAAAAGATGTAGTGTTTGCAATGCCACATCATATGATCCATGAAGTTGACTGAAAGAAAAACCGATAAAGAAATATGAAGTAACATATGAAATATATAATTAAACAAATTTTAAGTGAGCCTATATGTTCAGGAGGAGGTTAGGTCAAGTCTGAATTTTTTATTCGTATGTTCATATGTTCATCGCACCTAACAAAACACTTACCCTTGCTTGAGGTAAGAAACGAAGCTTCCAATTCTTTCGTGTAAATCATCTTCTTTGGACTCGGGAGGAGGCATTATTATGAAAAATTGCTATCAAAACCGAAAGTTTAGTTAATGTAAATTAGAGAAATTCGATTTTTTGCGAAAAGTCTTTGAGTATCAATGAAAACAGCGGCTACTTTCAGAAACTGACACTCGCGCACAATTTTTCTGAATTATACGCACATTTTGGTCAAGCGAGCGTGGGCTCATTATCAAACGCGGGTTTTACAAAATGAGGAATGGAAATATTGTAGGAAAACTTGCTCTACGAGAAGTAAGTACAAACTTGTTCATCCAATACAAAACTTTTCAGTTATATAATGATCATTTTATATCCCTTATTAGACGAGAGGATGTTTGCA